AGATCTAATTTAAAAATTGTCTTGTTAACTTAGACTACAATTTTCTAACCATTTCTCACTGTTCCCTTGTTTGTACTGGGGCCAAACCATATTTCAATAGTTGTTGTTGTTTTTTTTTTTAATCAGATTGACAGGATCCAATTGTTTCCAGTTACTAAGGATACAGCCTAATGGTGAGGTGGGTGGTACGGGCAGTGTTTCCCATGGTGCTGCACAGGGCCTATGGACAGAGAGGATCAGGTCTGTAGTCCTCCAGAGGGTGTCTCTAAGAAGGATGGAGATGTATTGAGCCCTGGGGCTCAAGTTTCCCACCAGATGTCTGGCAAAGTGCTTGGCACCAGTGCCTTTCATTTCTTACATCTCTCCATAGCCTGTTACCTGACTCCTTAACGACCAGGAGGGAGTCTCCTACTGGCTACATCTAACCAGTTGAGAAACAGTATTCCCCTCATTTATCCTGATAATAAAGGACTTTGATAATTTCTTTTGCAACAAGAAACAGGGAGGGGACTTGCCCAGATTTCGAAGGGAAGGGGTGAGGCCTATATGCTCCCCCAAAGTGGAGACATAGTTCCCACCCATGGCAGTGAGCTTTTCTGGTGTCCAGGACCTGACAGAAAGGTGAACTAGGACAGCTCCCTGAGGTATTGGGGAACAAGGCATTGAAGCAAGTGCCTAACTAAGGATAACCAGAGACAAAGGTCACCTAGGGGAAAGCCCCAAATGAAACACAAAAGGGGCAGATTGGGGGCAGGTCAAGCAGAAGACCAATCATTGGAAACTTCTCCAAAAAGAATGAGAAAGCTAAATGAAGGATTGGGAAGAAAAAAGTATGGGAGCAAAAAAGATATTAAACTTTAGGTCACACACTCATGAAACAGTGAGTACATGGAGTTGTCCTGTGCCCAGCAGAGCTCTTAATGCTCAATTCCACAACCAGGTTATCACAGAAGTCTTCAAGCAGGAGATGACCCAACGGCTCTTAATTGTATGACTCGTGACCAAAGACACAAAGGATAAATGGGAAGGGTAAGAGTGGAGAAAAAGAATGTTCCCCAAAACATTCTGGCTGAGCTCGCCAAGAAATGTTGAGGGTTGTGACTGTCCTAGGTTTTTGGTAACCCAAAGAACTGAGCAGGACACACAGTAGAAGTGAAAGTACAGATTTATTACCAAAGATACACTAGTGTCACAGGGTGTAAACAGGCCTCAAAGAAGCCAGGTGTCAGAGTCTATTTGTCTTTTACAGAGAAGGAGCAGCTCTTTGAACTGTTGCAACAATTTACTCCACTCAGGGATAAATCTCCTTTCTGATGGAGGGGAGAGATTTTTGTCCCTAAATAGACCTCTGAGGAACTATCAAGGTGCCCAAAGCCTACTGGGGAGTCAAAACCACAATGCAAATGAGGTTTTAATTAGTTATAATGGAATTGGGCTCACTTCCAGTTAAGAGTCTATAGCACATGGATCCCCAGGCATGGCTTGTTAGAGGTAGATGTTCATTGTGGTTTCTGGAGAGCTTACCTTAGCCCTCCCCAAAGCCTGTCTCACATGTGCCCTCTTATCTTTACTGGCTGTAGTCTAGCTGTTAGAATTGGGCACTGCTTTTTGGGGGTTGGGGGTGGGGTTGTTTTTTGTATCAGAGATCAAACTCAGGACCTTGAGCTGCAGTCTGTAGATTTGAGAAAGCCAGTTTCTTCTTTTCCCGTCCTTAAGACCTCCTATTTCCAGGAATCTCACCTCACTACCTCCTGCTCACCTTGACAGCCTGGCACCACCAATTCCATTTGGAGGACTGATCAACAACTTATGTTTCATCTGGCTCTAACCATGAAGCCAGAAAGCTGAGATTACTGAGGACAGACAAAATTATGATGATCAACATACCTACTTACTTCATGACACCTACGTCATCACTATGGGGAGTTATTAATATTATAGTATTAAAAAGCATTAGGGCAATGACTAGAGACTTATGGCATAGTATATGACATTAGTGTTGTCAAATCCAGTCTCTTGATTTGCCACTGGAGAAGGACCCAATGAACTGAGGACAAGGTGTTGGGGAAAGGAAAAAGATTTACTTGGTAAACCAGCAAAACTGGGAAGATGGTAGACAGCATCCAAAAAACAGGACTGAAGCTCTTTTGAGCTTTAGACAAGCGGAAAAGAAGGGGGAAGGTTAGGAAATGACTGAAGACTGTAGACTTCTGGGTACCTCTCTAGTGGTGTGGAACTGGATGTGGCAGATCCTGGTGGCTGATAATCTCTTGACGTGGCTTGGAGTCACAAGAGCATGTAAATCCTGAAAACATCTTAAGTTTTTCTTCTCTTGGCACCATGAGTGTTGAAGGGAGAGGAGAGTGAGTGGAGAAGTTTTGGGTAAATTAATCTTGTTTCAGAAAAGCATTCTTTAAATGATTAGCAAAGGCTGTGTACTCAGGGAGGCTAGGGGTATAGGACAGGAAAACAGGCGGAGGGACACAGGGAAGCTGGATAGGGGCACAGGGAAGCTGGATAGGGGCAGAGGGAGGCTCATAGGGGCATAGGGAAATTCAGATAGGGGAGTTCAGGAAGGCTTATGCTCATGAAGGCATAGACTTTTTTTTTTTCTTCAGTACAGGGGATTGAACCCAGGGCCTTTACCCTGAGCTACATCTTCAGCCCTTTTCTTTTTTTTTTATATTGAGTCAGAGTCTTATTGATAGAGAAAAGTTTTAAAGTAAGTTTAGTAGGTTAGCTATTAAAGTAGTTGTGGAAGCAAAATAGGTAGTGTATCCCTTTAAAAGCTTGCCTTAGCCCATTGCTTTTGTTTAAAGTGAAGGTTATATAGCTCCTTTGATCTGTAGCTCCACTATAGATAACATCCTAGCTCTGAAGAACAAAGTGGCAATCCCTGAACAAACGTGATGTATGTGCCGTAACTGTCATGTGTTTAGGACTGTAATCAGTGACAGAAATCACCTGTGTTTAACCATTAAGCAGAAATTGGAACTTTATTTACTTAACAAAGACCACTAGGGATGAGATAATGACTAACAAAAGTATAAAAGGTGAATAATAAAGAACGAAGTGCACAGACACTAACCAGACCAGTTTCTGGCAGTACCACCTGCTTGCAAGTAAAACTTTTATTATTTTACCCAAATTCTGTGTCTCCATGCATTTCTTTCTATGATTTTCTGGAACATTATTAAGTCACTAAGTGGTCCAGGTTAGGCTTGAGCTTGCAATCCTATTACCTCAGCCTCTCAGCATGTTGGGATTAGAGTTATGTGCCACCATACCTGGCTGGCATAGACATTTTCCTAGAGATCTGATCCACAGCAAAGTTAGTGCAGGACTAATAACAAATTGCTCAGCTGCATGACCTCCAAAATTAGTGTCTTTTCAATACAATGAAAAGTAACTAAAAGCCAGTGAACACAGAGTATTTCTTTGGGTTTTCCCTTGATATAGTCAAGACCACAATAGAAACAGTGGATAAACTCTGTTCTTAACCTGTTACTCAAAATAGGCTCATTTGAGCCAACAGATGTCCCATGAGTAACTAAAAGCAGAAGAAAATTTGACCTTCATTTATTACCTTAAAACTGGGTCAGACCCTTGCTAAGCTCTGCGTATGGGTATGTTAGTCATTTAGGGAGCTCTGTTTAAAGGTTGGCAGAAAAAGTGAATTAGCCCTTCCATTAACCTATCTCATCAGCCTTCATGACTGAGGACAGAAAGATTTATAGTAGCATTCAACTATGCCTGTAAGTCTCCAGTCATTGCCCTAAACAAACATAGTCACCCCAGATTCCAGCAAAGCCTCCACATACCTGAGATTTCCCCAAGCAGAAACAATCATCTCATAGAGACTGAATTGCACCCTCAACCAATAAGGACTTCTCCAGGAGTCATTTTGCAAACCAGAACTTAAAGAATGATCGAGCTGACTCTATCTCGCTCCAGCAAACTCATGAAGCCTGCCCTCATTCTTCTGTCAATGGGCCAGTCTGATCCTCTTCATCAAGAGCTGTGCCCTCTTCAGTTCCTCAAGGTAAAGTCCCCATTTCCTCCTATTTTCTAACTCTGCCTCGTAAACCTGCTTATGCCTCCCACTAATGTGTCCTAGAGTGATTTTCTGTGACAAGGGTTGATAAACCTACTCCTTGGGGGCTGAGTTGAGGGCTCATCTCCTCTCTGAGGGACACCTTGGAGCCCCGCCAGTGACACCCTCAGCTTCATTAGTATTAAACACTTCATTTCCTTAAGGCAATAAGGCCACCCAAGCTCAAGATCCCAGCAAGAGTGGGACTCATTCTTTCACCCAGTAACACTGATGGAATAGGGCTAACAACTTCTTGATTGCTAATCTTGCAACAGCAATGTTCTACATACATTGAAATTTCACAGTGACCCACTAATATGCATGATTATCCCCAAAGTACACATAAGAAAACTGAGAGCTCAGCGATATCACCCAAAATCTCTACTATTAAGAGGCAAGGCCTTATCCCCAAGAGTCAAAATTTCCTCTCAAATGAAGACAAACTAGATCTTGGCCCTAACGTTGAGATACTTGCAGAACTGCTTTAACAGCAATCCCAATTCAACCACTGACTCCCTAGCAATAGTGACTAAGCTTCTATAAGTGAAACAACCAGTCACCTGCCAGTCGCCACATACCTGAGCCAGCCAATTAGCAGCAATCACACCAGAGGGGCCACATTTCTGCCGTTAAACTGTGTCTGACTATGCACCAATCCCTAACCTCTATGCTCCCCAAATCCAAATGAGATCAGCTCTCTGCTTTGCCATCTTCTAAGCACAGTATTCCCTTGCTAAGCAATCTGTTCAGCTTATTTTAGATGACAAAGAGCTCTCCTCCAACACACTTTGTCTTTTAAACCCAAACATAAAAGTCCCCATGACTTCAAGTAGCTCCTTTTCTGGAGAAAGGAGGCCTTTAAAACACACAAACACTGCTGTCTCTTGACTTTGAGGAAAGGACTTACCTTGCCTCGGAGGGAGTCAGCCAGGGAAAGAGCACTATGCCCCTTTATTTGTCCTTAGAAGTGACCTCAGCACTGGCCTAGATTTTTTTTTCCAATTTCTTTTTAAAGTGTTGACTGATGACACAGATGATACACATTTACAAATGCAGTTGCCTTGACTTGGTGGCCAAAGTGGTAGAGAACTAGAGCCAAGCAGATGGGTAATGTGCCCAGGACAACTCTGCCATTTCCAGCCAAGTCACAGTAAAGGTCAAACTCTACACATGGAAATGCAACTTGAAAGCTGACACTTCTCTAAATGGCCAATGGTACTACCTCTTAGATGTTCACAGCTGACTGCACACATTTATATCATTAGTCAGCTGGGAGGAGTATGGAAAAACTATCTTAGGCGCAGTATAGAGCGGCTTAGCTATATCATAGCAGTTAGAAAAATGGTCTTTGCAGTTTGAGTGTCTTGATCAAACTGTCACAGGATGGGGTCCAAGGAGTTCCCCCAAAGAGGAGGTGGGGACCCCAACTTAGTCTTGACTCTGGTCACATGAAAGAATTTCAGGACACACCAGTGAGAGGCACAGAAAGTTTTATTAGGCAGAACTAAGGTACAGACTCAGAAAAGATAGAGTGCAGGTGCTCAAGAGAGATTCAAGTTATGGTCTGAAGCTGGAAATATTTAGGTGTTCTGTGGGTTGAAAATCTGTGGAGTTTATGAATCTACAGAAATCTCAGGTTCAATTTAAAATCTATAGTATGTATCTTAAAAATCTTTTAAGATAGGTGACCTAAGACGTTTTGCCTAAAAACATTATCTGAACTCTTTGAATCTATTTCTCTATCTTAAAGTCAGGCTTCTGCCCTTTATCAACTAAGCTGATTTATGGGTTTACAATATCTTTAAGGGATTTGTATGTTTTGAGTGGGCCTGAAAGCCTGGGAAGATATGGATAACTGTAACTGTGTGTCCTGAAGTTGCAGTCTTAAAAAAAAAAAGTACAATTTTAAAATTATTTTCTCTTTCTGCCTATCTTATTTCATCCATTTCACCTCAAAACCATAATTTTCTAGCTGAAGTTTGTAGCAAGCAACTGAATTGTTATCTCCTTACCTGAAAAAGATAATAATCATATTAACACGATAGGTCTGTGAAGGAAGTTAAGGGAGGTAATGCATAAAACATTTAGGGCCAAGACTGATTCATTTTATGTCCATTTACCAAAAAAAATCATGGTCTCTTCATAGTGAGGTTGCTGCTGGGAAATGGATCCTGGCAAGGTACATTTCCCAGCAGCCTTTGCAACAGGCATGGCCGTGCGACCACATTTTGTGTGGTCATGTGACTGGGACCTAGATATTGCAAGGGAGACTAGTGGTTAATGCTGCTTCCTGACACGCCTCCTACAAAACCTCTCATGCTGTCCTCCAAAGTATTCCCAGGGCCCAGCTCTATCCTCATCCCATCCTGATGGACTGTGACAAATTTTAGGATAAACAAGATTCACACCCAAGAAAACATCTCCACTGCTCCCCCAACTCCAGGCTCTCTTCAGTGTCCACAGTATTCCAGCCATGAGCGTGCTCTCCGCACTCTGACCTGACCAGGGGGCATCCCTGTGTGCTGCAGAAGGTTCTACATCCACACACAGGTGCACACAAGGCATTTTATGGCAGTCAGTGACTGCTCACATGGGGCCAAATTCTGCCCACCTTTACCCAGATAGTGGACCCAGGAAAGTAACTTCCACTGTGTGCCTCAGTGTCCCCTGGTAAATGGAAATAACAAAAGTACCTACCTAGTGGGGATGTCATTGGCAAGAATCAGTACAAGAGGGAGATCACATGGTTAGGCAGGAACGCAAAGAGTGATTTAGGGGTCAGCCTCAGATTCCACAACCCACTCCTGTGAGAGTCCTGCTGGATGAGGACCACACTGAAAACTGCTCCATGGACTTCCTACGCATTGCCCCATGTAGGATGCCTTCAACTGGGGCGAAGAAAAAATCCAAGAGAGGTGCTTCACAATAAAGGAACTTCACTGTGTCACTTACAGCTCTGCTCCATGTGGCCGCCTGAATCCTGGTCTGTCCCTCCTCCAGATAGTGGCCAGAGTGCTGCTGCAGGTCCCCCGAAAGCAGCCAGTTCTTTTTGTGACACTCTCAGCAAAACATTTTTCAAGAAGATTCCTCCTAATTATAGATGTCCCACGGCACTGGGGAAATGCCATCTCCATATGCCATCTCACCCAACCCACGCCTAGCTGCATGGGGCCACCAAGCCTGGCTGAGCTCATCTGTACCTACAGGGAGGACAGGGCCCTGTGGTGGTGGTGGGAAGAGGTGAGAAGGAGTGAAGATACAGCAGTTGACCAGCAGCAACGTCCTGGGTCTCTCATGTGCTAGTGGAACCTGATCTTCAGCTATAACTTACTAAGCACCTCCCTGTGGCAGGCATTATGCTAGGGAGTAGTTGTGTAACAATACACAGGGACAGTCACTGCCTGCCTTCGAGGTGTGGCATTTGCAACACTATGCTGACAGCTCTGAGGCAACACCTGCTCCCAGGCTGTGGGTGGTAGATCTGAAAGCCACACAGCATTTGCTGTACCTACTGTGCCCCAAGAGGACAGGGACCTTACTGGAAGTGTGGAACCCTGATCTGGGCCCCGGTGCTAACACTCCTAGCTGTCACTCCAGCCCCGGGGAAGTCATTGACCAATTCTGTTCTCCCCTGCCGGCACCTTCAACACAAGGCTCAGGAAGGAGCCCATCTTTATGATGCCAGGAGGCAAACAAGTTAAAGTATATGAAGACTTTACTGTCACTATCCAGTATCCAGTAACAGCCCCTAACTACATGTTATGGTTTAGACCAAAAATGGCCCCAAAGCCTCATGTGTTTGTGGTGACTCAATTATGGGGGCACTACAGCTGACTTCCTGATCAGAGGTGGGGTCTGGTTAGAAGAGGTGTGCCACTGTGGATGTGGCCCAGAAGGGTAGATCTCCCCTCCCAGTTCATCCTATGATTCTCTGCTTCCTGGCTGCCATGAGCAGCTCTCCTCCGCCCAGACACTCCCACCATGCCTTCCTGCCTTGGAGCTGACCAACTGTGGACTAAAAACGTCACCCAAGGTAGGCCTCTTCTAAGCTGTGGGTGTCAGGGTATTTGCACCAGAGACAAGAAAGTGACTAAGACATCACATATAGCTATTGAAATGAAACATCGGAGGCCTCAGTTGCACTGGCCATGTGTCACGTGCTCCATCCCTGCAGGTGGCTGGCAGCTGGTGCACTGTGTAGAGCAGGCACAGAACACTTCCGTCACTGTGGAGGGTACTGCTGCATGGCACTGGCTCAGTTCCTGGCACCAGCACACTCTATACCACTGTGAGCTCACAGAGCTCTGTCCCCAGAGCTCAGCATGGACCTTGTCACAGAGGAGATGTCTAAAAATTATTTATTGAAAGAAGTGACCAAATGAATCCCAGACCTAGTGTAAACCACCTCTGGCACACACATCAGACTGCGACACCAGATCTTCCATATCCCTGGGTCCCCTTTGCCTCTGCCCCCGGCCCTGGAGCACAGGGGCTTAGTAGAAATCTTCATTATCAGAGTCTGAGTCAATACCTTGGTTCTGAATTTGACTTTGCTTGCGATACAGACAGGCCACCTGAGGAGAGGAGTGTGGGGGGGTCAGCAGCTTCTGGGCTGCCCCCTCCATAAGCCCAAACCACCTCTCTCAGAAGCTGGTGACACCAAGCAAGCCCACCCCTGGGAGACACTGCCTCTTCTCAGGGTCTCACCTGGGCACTGGTAGTGGCCTCCTCTGGCTTCTTATCTTCACGGACGCGAATAAACCGAGGGAAGCGAAGGGAGATGCCCTTCTCACTGTCCACCTAAGGGAGGGGGTGGTGATCAGAACTCTCCGGTGCTCTAGCTGCAGTCTGCTGGCTGAGCGATAACCTATCCGGTCTCTTCCTCCTTATTTTACCCTGGCCTCAGTTTCCTAATCCATATAATCCATACAATGGGGCTGAGCAATGGACTGTAAGGATTAAAAACACTGACAAAGTGCTTAGATCCTCTGTATCAGGTGCATAGTAAGAGCTTAAGAAATGCCAGCTGTTACTGTCATGTTCTGCTGGGAAGGGAAACAGCAGACTCAGGGTATATATTATAGAGCAACACTTGAGGCATCCAGTCTATGTGGCCCTGGATCAGTCACCTCAGCTCTCTTGGTACTATCTCTTCAGCTGTGAAACAGATGTTCATATCACCACGTCTCTGCTGTATTGTGCAACATGCCCGTTATAACACAGCATTGCCACAGTGAGTGCTGGCTCCCTAGACTAGCTACCACAGAACCCTGGCTCCCCAATGCACAGCATGAATGAGAAACTAAAAATTGGATCAAAGATAGGAGTTCCTCATTATAAATGGACGTCTGTTTATAGTCAGAAAAGTGTATATTAGCCAGGTTTTGAAGGATAGAAGAACTCTCCAGAGAACTTTTTAAATTTGACCATCACTGTCCTCTTGAAGATGAGGACTGCAAACTGTCTCAGTGCTGGCCACAGGCTTCTGTCTCCTGGCTGCATATGGATTGCTTCACATGGTACCAAGGGTCAAACCACTGGGGGATCAGCCAGGTAGTGTGAGAACAAATTCTAGTTGAGGAAGTAACTGTGGCTGTTGAAGGAGAAGCTCAGGGGCAAGTGTGCTGAGCTTTCACATAAAAGATCTCAGAATTCGAAAATTACTTCAGAGTTTAAGCCATGCATGGTGGTGCATGCCTGTAAACCCCACACTCTGGGAGGCTGGGGCAGGATGATCACAAATTCAAGTACAGCTTCGGCAACTTAGTGAGATCCCCCTCAAAAGAAAAACTGAAAAGAGCTGGAGATGTAGCTCACTGCCCAGGTGCTGGGTTCACATCAAGGTATCATCCCAAAAGAGCTAACGACATCATAGTACAGCCTACACACACACCAATGTTTACAGGAACACAATTTATAATAGCAAAATCCTGGAAGCAGCCTACATGTCCATCAACAGGTGAATGGATAAAGAAATTAAATTTTAAATTAAATTATGGTATCTATATATAACAGAATACTACTCAGATATTAAGAAACAAATTTGAGGCGTTTATAGGAAAATGGATACATTTGGAAAACACTGTTAAGTGAACTAAATTAGACACACAAGCTTAAATTCTGTACAGTTTCTCTCATTTGAGCACTACTAAGTAAAAATAAAGAACAAAATAAAAAACTGGAATCGGGGGTCCAAGAGAGCTGGGGGAAGGGAGAGGGGAGTAGGGAAGGGGATATAAAAGGATTTAAAAAGCATCACGCACATGTACTAAATACCCACAAGGAATGCAATCAATATGTATCATAAACATGAACTACTACTACTACTACTACTACTACTAATAATAATGGGGAAAGGGAATCTAAGGGTGGTGAGAGGAGGTGGGTGGAGAGGGAAAAGGGAATTTAAAAAATCAAAATATGTTATGGGCACCTGAAATGAACAGACATTTCTCAGACAAAGAAGTAAAAGCAGCAAATAAACATATCCAAAAATGTTCAGCATCACTGGTCATTCGAGAGATGCAGATGAAAACAACACTGAGATTCCACCTCACCCCACAAAGAATGGCTGCTATCAAGAAATCAACCAATAACAAATGCTGGCGGGGTGTGGGGAGAAAGGAACCCTTCTCCATTGTTGGGGGAGTGCAGACTGGGGAAATCAGTATGGAGATACCTCAAAGAACTAGGGCTAGAGGTCCCATTTGACCCAGTTATTCCCCTACTGGGTATCTTCCCCAAAGAATTAAAAGAATCATACCACAGCGATATATGTGCCCCATGTTTATAGAGGCACAGTTTATAATAGCTAAAGCTTGGAAACAGCCCAAGTGCCCATCAACTGGAAACTGGATAGAGAAGATGTGGGTTTTTTTATAAAATGGAGTATTACTCAGCCGTAAAGAATGAGAAACTAGAGACATTTATAACTAAATGGATGCCATGTTGAGGCCATACTCTTAAGTGAAATAAACAGGACACACAAATGTAAATACCAAATAGTTTAAGTGTGAGAAACTGAAAGTGTAAATATGGATTACAATGATTAAAACATATAACTGATAATTTGAAATAGGAAAAAGTCCAAAGGGTTAGGGATGGTGGGAGGGGAAGGGGAAAGGAAAGAAGGGAAAGGAAAAATTATGAGGAAAGAAAAAAATGGAACAAAATCTATGTAAATAGGGAGGGGTGGAGGGGGTGAAGGGTGCACAGGTAATGGGGAAAAAATAAGAACCAAGATACATCATGTGCAGGTACCAGCACCCAATGACAAATGTAAACGTACTGTATACCTAAAATGGACCAACAAAAGAATTTAAGCAAAAAAAAAAAAAAAAAAATCAAAATATAATAAGTACAGGTTCCTACTCCCTAAGATGAATGTAAACTACATGTACTACAAACACATTCTAATAAAAAAAGAAAAAGATGCTGGGTTCAATCCCCAGTACCACAAAACAAAGAAAAAAAAATCTTCAGAGCCAAAGGCAAAATCATGACACAAAAGGGAACAACATCACTGTTTTTTTTTGTTCTACCAAGGAATATTTTTAAGATTTTTTTTTTTTACTTCACTATCTGACACCCAAATATGCCAGTTTTCTTGGTCATCGTGCAGGAGGAGCAGATGTGGGCCCCAAGGTCCCTCCCATGAGCCCCACTTCCCTCCTGGAGCTCCTTCCCAGGCCCCACTCACCAGGCCCCGGGCAGCAGGGTAGACGGGGGAGAGCGAGAGATCAGCGCACTTCACCTCCCACACGGCGCTGGGGTCCAGCCAGTGGTCGGGCGCCACAGCACCGTCAGCCCGCACGTAGGGGCGTGGGGTGGGCAGCACCAGGGCCTGCGGCAAGTGGTGGGAGAGAAGAGGGTACTGGATCTCAAAGTCAAAGCCCCAAGTTCCACATTAGCAGCGAAGGAGAGAGGAAATGGAAGGAACAGAAATAGGCACCGCTTAAAAGTAGAACGCTGGAGGAGAGGAGCAAACAGAAATGGGAGATAGGAGGAAATGAAAGAGAGACTCTGGGAGCGGAAGTGGGACATTAAAGACAAAAGAGGCAGAGGCCCAGAGAGAGGGACAGAGAGCTAGAGGAAGAGAGGGAAGGAAAGGGAGGGAGAGGATGAGGGACAGAGAAGAAAGGTGAGGTGGGGGGGGGGCACTGGCCCAGATCTGTGGGACAGTGACCCAGACGGCAGGGGAATCGAGAGAGACACCCAAAGAGTGGGACAGAGATGGAGTCAGGACCCAGATACCAGTGCACAGGACAGACTCACACCCAAATACGCCTGCTGTCATGACGGCAAGCACTCCCCTTCTCTAAGGCTCTGGAGCTCCCACGCAGTGCCCGTGGTGCCCCCAGGACAGCTAAGGCACTGCGCTCAGGGAGACCAGGTCCCTCGGCCAGAGTCACCAGCTAGTCAGTGTCCTGCAGAGCTGGAATTTGGATGTGCCAGGCTCTAAGTCCAGCCCTGCTACCCACTGCCCTGCTGCCTGCACCCTGGCCCAAAGTGTGCAGCCCAAGTGGTGGAAGCCAGAGGCCTGCACGGAGAGAGCTCACTGTCAGAGGCACGAGGCTCGAGGCACGTCGCCCTGGCTCACCTGGAGGCTCTGGTAATGCTCTTCCAGCTGCTCATCGCTGAAGCCCGTTCCAAGCTGCAGGGAGGACGAGGAAGGTCAGCTCAGCCAGCCGCCTGCCACACACCTCCTCCCCGCTGCTGCCATCCGAGGACCTGGATGTGTCTGCCAGCCAGATCCCTGACCCACTCTGTCCAACCAGTGTCCACAGACAGCAGAGGGACGGTACAGTGTGGGTGCTAAGCAACTGGTCAGCCGAGGGCCCTCTGAAGGGAAACAACTCACCCTCCCAGCAGTTCCACTAGCTCCTCACAGCCTTCCTTCTGCCTTAGAGAAACCTTCCTCCTCCCGCTTGTGCTCACCAACATCCTACCCGCCCAGGAACTGATTGTTGTCACCTTCGGTCTCAAAACTGACAAGAGTTCCTTTCACCTCCCGAACAGTACAGGGTAAAGGACAGTAATGACACTTGGTGCTGACAGACAAGACAGGCATCTTTATACTGCTATTAAATTTCATCCAGAAAGCCCTTTTCGTATTGAGAGCCTTAATGTTTTTTGGCCTTTTGTTCTCATTAGCTCTTT